CTCTGCCTAGTCAGTGTCTATACTCGTGTCCTCAACAGTAAACAAATTCTGCAGACAATGCATCAAAAAGAACACAGAAATACAGTGTCAGTGGGAATTCAACTTACTGAAGTCATCATGTGTAGCTGGAGAATTTCTCTCTGGGTTCCGCCAAGCCCCCGCAGTCCCAGAGACCATTTATAAAATAAACAAACTGGCTCAAATGGCTCAGGCTTCTACCTAGCTGTTTTTGTATCTTAAATTAACCCATTTTTATTAATCTATAAGTTGTCACGTGGCTCGTGGCTTACCGGTATTTTAACATCTTGTTTTTCATTGTGGTGGCTGGCAGTGTCTTTTTGTCTCAGTCTTTTACTTTTTAGACCCTTTTTTTCTCTCTTTGTCCCATCTATATTTTTTGTTTGGCTACTGGCCAATCAGTGTTTTATTTATAAATCAATCATCCAAAGCACTTCCTTTTTTTATTTTTTAAAAGGGTTTAACTTTAACATAGTAAAATTACATATAACAAAACAATTATTAAGCAAGAATTACAGTTACAATATCTAGTCTATTTATAATATCTAGTTTATTTGTATTTGACAAAATTAAAGAAGATATCCTATCTATCTTATATTTGTGAGTCTAAGGTTTTATATCTAACTTATCTTTTATCATAACCAAGGAAATTATAACTATTTAGTCTTCATCTATATCAAAGACCTCAGAAGGATATACTATTACCTGAGAAACAGAAGAAGGACACATGCAACTTTCGTGAGTCTTGCGAGAGTAGACAGAGACAGCTGGCAGCCTGGACTGTCATCCAAAGGGACTGCAGGAGCTTGGCAGTACCCAGAGAAAAACTCTCCAGTTACAACCATGCAAGTCTGTGGGCAACTTCTTCAAGAAATTTACATAAGATTCAAATACATTACACATGTGATTTTGTATTAAATAACTTTAGTACATTTTTGCAATAATGGAGAATTACTCACTGATCAACATGCATACTAAATAGCAACAGAAAATGGAAAACAGAAAAATACATATATGATATATGAGCATTGACACATGGCTACCATGTCCTCATTCAGTCACAAGAAGACAATGTGAGAGGTTTCTCTCCATAAAGATTCTAAGAAAGTTGTTTCAAGAGGAATGGGCAGTTTCTGCAAGACAAATGAAGTAATGTTAAAAAGAAACAAAATATAGAGAAAGCTCCAAGACTTCAAAGACCCCTAGGAGATTAAACTAAAATTCCAAAATCTTTCAAAATTATTGCAATAAAAAACATTGAATAATGTTGCAAAGACAGACATCAGGAGATGTTAATGGGAAGACAATATAGATAGGACTTAATCCTCTGCAAAGATACTAAATAATTCTTCCCCAAATCCTGCTGGCATCACATTAGGAAATGGAAAAACTGACCACAAAGGAAATGGAATCTAAAGAAATTACAAAAACCTTCAGAGTTAGGAGATCAGCAAACAAAACTTAAAGGGAAGAACTTTTCTAATTTTACAGCAAGTAAAAATCAGAGTAATGAAATTCATATAATAGTGAAATGAACACACAAGTGATACAAATGGAATAGGAATGTCATTGTTCACAAACACAATAAAATAAGTTATATTTTTCTAGTATTAGTTCTCATGTTAAAAGACAGTAACATATATAAGAACATAATCTTGAGATTATTTAGTGTAGATTATTCCACAATAATTTTTAGGAAAACAATATGGCAAATCCAATTTCATTTCCTGTTTGCCCATTTTGTTTTTTAAAAAAATTCTTAGATTTTTAAATTTCAGCTCATAAGTATTGATGTCTAGCAGTATGTCCTCTGTTGTGTCTGATCCCTGCTGAAGTCAGAAGAAGGCATCAGATCTCCAGACATAGTTGTCAGCCACCATGAGGGTGCTTGGAACTGAACCCATATCCTCTTCAAGAACATGAAGTGCTATTACCTACTGAGCCATCTCTTCTGCTCCCTCCAAACTATACCATATATTTCTCTCTACCTCCCAGGCTTTTTTTGTTCTGTATCACAGGTTAGCAGGTTTATCAGTAAGCCTAGTCTATGAGAAATTGAGATTCTTCTGAAAGCATCTGGATTTCTAACACAGTACTGCACTTTGTAGAGAAAATAAAATAGAGGATTCTGCAAATGATTCACCAACTGCCACTGTGTTAGAATAATCAAAATACTTAGAGAGAATTTTCAGATGATATAATTTGAATTCCACCACTTCTAATTATATATCAGTCAAAACTCAAGGGCTGGCATGGAACTGAGTGATTGAGATGACAATATTTTACATTACCAACTTTTTGAATTTATCATGGAACAAAAATGAAAGAACCTTACACCTGGCAATAGAATACACATGAAGAAGAGATAAAATATCATGTAATGTTCTTTCCTCCTCTGAGAATTTCTTTCCTCTGTGAGACGTGAGACTCATTCAAACACAGCTCTTACACTTGCAGAATTTCTCCTGAGGAGGAGCAAGGGAGACTGCAGGCAAATTATTCTCACCTTCAGAAAACAGACTGCTGTAATTCTGCAGCATCCAATCTCTGTACAAAGTTCACCGAGCAAAGTATAGGCATTGCCCTTACTTCTGATAGAAGTGCAAATCCATTAAACTGAATGTCATGAGACTGTGAAATAAAAAGTGAGTGTTTTAGCCAGCTGTGTCTGTACACTGCTTTAACCCTAGCACTAAGAAAAGCAGAGGCAGGTAAATACCATGTAAGACCAGGCCTGAGCAAGACAGGGCAACAGAGTGATGTATTTATTGAATAAAACAGCAAAAACCAAACAGTACCAAGCCACTTTGTCCATGCCTACATGGGAAGACTGGTTTTTGTTGGACCAAAAGACAATTTTTCTTACACTTGAGTGATCAGAACTTTTTAAAAGATGCTTTCCAATTCTGTCCCAATCTATAGTACAATTTATAACTAAAAATAGTGTGGCCTGGTATTCACCCACAGCATACAGACTGCACTTTTCCACAGTCTAAGGTGTAATATTAAGAATGCATCATGACTTCTTAATGAAGACACATTTCTGGATGTTGTATTTTTATACTCTAATTCATACATCTCAGATGGAAAATTAACAAATTTTAAAATTTACTTAGTGACTGTTAATGTTTTCAACCATTAGTGTGGGGCTTAGTAAAATATATTTTCTAGATCAATCAAATCTGTACTGAATTCTCATGGGACTAATTCCTTTTTAGCTGTTGTTTGTTTTTGAGATAGGCTTTTTCTGTGTAACAGCCTTAGCTGTCCTGGAACTTACTCTGTAGACCAGGTTGGCCTAAAACTCAGAGATAAGCCTGCCTCTCTGTCCCAAGTGTTGGGATTAGAGATTTGCACCACCACTGCCTGGTGTCATGGGACTAATTTCTAAATAGCTCCTGAGATACTAATCACAGGAGAAAAATCCACTCTCTTGAATAGGCAAGTGGAAGAATGGCAGAGTTAGAAATCATGGATGAATTTAAATTCCAGGTGCTGTGAAATTGCCACAATAGCATGAGAACCCTGTTTGCAAACAAGAGTTAATGTAAATGCAACTATGCTGCAACCAAAAGAAAAATGAAAAGAATCCTGATAAGCCCTAATTCATATGATCTAAAGTTTACAGACATGGGTAGATATCCACAGCAGAATTTGAGACAGTATCCTCCTGCACAGCAGCACAAAAACTAGTCAAACCCCTGACTAGGTTCCAGACACATTTCCCAGCCCTGCAGCTCCACTGGGCTGCAGTTTCCCCCACTGCACTGCTGACTGATAATTCTCCCAGATTCCTAAGGGTGGCCTGCAATGGAGGGGAGTTTTCCTGTCCCTACAAGATATGGAGATGACACCTGTGTCTTCTCTTTGGTTCTGAACAATGTAGCTCCTAGAGGTCTCTCTGGGAATGCTGGTTTTTTCAGACCATGATGCCCTGGTTCAGGAAACACAGCTCATGTAGTCTAGATTTCACCATGCACTTGCACAAATGCCGCTAAATTTTCCAAGCCCACACAACCTCTGCTTCATTTCCCCATCATTCCTCAGATCAGGCAATTGTCCCAGTCCCACTGATACCCATCTGTCCCACTCTGTTCAGGCTACCTTCTACACAGCTTTAGCTGTCAGGCTGTCCTAGTTCTGCTCTACCAAGCTTCCCAGGTGTTGCTGCAATCATACATAAGAACTGTGTTTATAAATGGGCACAGAACGAGGCAAACAATATCATATAAGGGGTACGAGGTGAGATATCTTCATTGTACTCAAGTTGACAAATTTATCCCTAGAAATCTGTGATGAATTAGGTAGAATAATCATCTAATGTCATCAAGAAGGGGCATTATGATCCATGGAACTCCCCAAATTTTCTGATATGTCTACATTATTAGTATTGTGTAAAGGACTTAACAAAAGGATTCAATTCACTTGTTGAGGCTTATAGAGTGGAATTTCTAAGGTACAACAGGACATGAGGATAGTAAAATGATGTTGAGTATTTACCTGTAAACATCAGTCTTCTGAAGGTCATTGGAGTTTGAATGACAGTCTAAATGTGATTTCAGAGCAATGCATAGACACAGCCCATTTTGGATGATGTCTGTCAATAACACAGGTTTATACCCATATTTTCATTTGTCCCACTGCAGACCTCTCACTCTCCTCCTTGAATGCAAGGAAGAGAGTGGCCTTCTTTATTAGGCTCCCCAAGCCTCTATGTTTTGTCTGTGTTGAGCCCTTTCAATGGGACAATGTACTACTCTAACAGTAAGCCTGGAACAGTGAGTAAAATAATCTTCCCTACTTTATTTGACTCACATGCTTTCTAACATTGATTTTCTGGTGTACAAGTTTGGAGGAACAATTAACGGGTTCAGTACATACTATATGAGACCTTTCCTAGGAAGACACAACATTCATATGCACCCACTCAGCCAAAATGGGAACTGACAACAGAGCCAAGCATGCTTGCACTGAAATCCAACTCGTTGAACCAATGGGCTTTATTGGGGTTACTTATATAAATATGAGACTGGAGTTGCTTACAAGAGCAAAAGTTACTCATAGACAGTTGTCATAATGAAACTCCAAGTCAGCATGAAATACAGCTTTTGAACACTGGACACCCATAGCATACTACACACCTGCAGATATATCTACATGTTAAAGGACAATGTATTTTAATGGCTCAATTCATCAAAGCCTCTTCTAAGCAGCAAGACTGGTATGTTTCTTCAAAGGAATTAAGCATAGTGAATCTTGACAGTTTCAGTTCTGGGAGCTATTTTGAGTGGTTCATTTCCCGTCTTATTTAGCTTCCCTGCAGGATGGAATGCTTGTCTCCACAAAACTGCTACACAACAGCACATTCTTCAGGTGTCTCCATTTTTTATTCATTATGAAGTATTTGAAGGTGAGAAGGTAAAACGTCTTAATGAAAATTTTCCTACAATGTCACATTTGCAGAATTTTTCCTTAGTTTGGACTTTTTTTTTCCCCTAAGATTCAAGAATTACTCAAAGGTTTTCACACATTTCTCATGTACATGATTCCCTAGTGTGGATCCTGTGGTGGTCCATAAGGACAGAGCTTTGATAAAGCATATGCTGTATTACTTACTATGTAAACTTTTGCCTTCAGTATGTATTTTCTGATATTTTCTTAGACCTGAGGGACAGGTAAAGAGTTTGCCATATACATTGCATTTATAAGCGTTCTCTCCTGTATCAATTCTTTGATGAGTTCTAAGGTGGGCTTCCTGGATAAGGGATTAGTCAAACTCACTGCATTGGTAAGATTTCTTCCAGTATGAATTTTCTGATGTTTTCTAAGAACTGAGCCACCAGTAAAAGATTTCTCACATTCATTGCACTTGTAAGGTTTCTCACCTGTATGAAGTCTCTGATGTGTTCTAAGATGGTCTTTCTGGATAAAGCATTTGTCACAGTAACTACATTTATATGGTTTCTCTCCTGTATGGATTTTCTGATGTGTTCTAAGATTGGCTTTCTGGATAAAGCATTTCTCACATTCATTACATTTGTAAGGTTTCTCTCCTGTGTGAATTCTTTGATGTCTTCTAAGGTGGGCTTTCCGGATAAAACATTTGTTACATTCACTGCATTTGTAGGGTTTTTCTCCAGTATGACATTTCTGATGCTTCCTAAGATCTGAGCCAACAGTAAAGGACTTGTCACATTCACTACATTTGTAAGGTTTCTCTCCTGTATGAATTCTCTGATGAGTTCTAAGATTGGCTTTCTGGATAAAGCATTTCTCACATTCATTACATTTGTAAGGTTTCTCTCCTGTGTGAATTCTCTGGTGTCTTCTAAGGTTGGCTTTCCGGATAAAGCATTTGTCACATTCACTGCATTTGTAAGGTTTTTCTCCAGTATGAATTTTCTGATGTGTTCTAAGATCTGAGCCAACAGTAAAGGACTTGTCACATTCACTACATTTGTAAGGTTTCTCTCCTGTATGAATTCGCTGATGTTTTTTAAGTTTGGCTTTCTGGATAAAACATTTGTCACATTCACTACATTTGAAAGGTTTTTCTCCAGTATGAATTTTCTGATGCATTCTAAGATCTGAGCCAACAGTAAAAGATTTCTCACATTCACTACATTTGTAAGGTTTCTCTCCTGTATGAGTTTTTTGATGTCTTCTAAGGTGGGCTTGCTGGATAAAGCATTTGTGACATTCACTGCATTGGTAAGGTTTCTCTCCTGTGTGAATTCTTTGATGTATTCTAAGAGATGAGCCAACAGTAAAGGATTTCTCACATTCACTACATTTGTAAGTTTTCTCTCCTGTGTGAATTCTTTGATGTGTTTTAAGTTGGGATTTCTGGATAAAGCATTTGTCACATTCACCACATATGTAAGCTTTCTCTCCTGTATGAATTCGTTGATGTCTTTGAAGACCTGAGGAGGTGGAGAGGGATTTTCCACATTCATTACATCTGTAAAGTTTCTTTCCATTGTGGGTTCTATAATGGTACTCAAGGTGTGACAATGTATAGAAGGACTTACTACATTGTTTACATTCATAAGGCCTCTCTCCTCCATTAGCATTCTGATGTTTTCTAAGACCTAAGCAGCAGGTAAAGGATTTTCTACAATCACTACATTTGTAAGTCTCCTCTCCAGTGTGGATTCTGTAACGTCTTTTAAAACCCAATGAACGATAAAAGCACTTACCACATTCTGTACATTTGTAGGGTTTTTCTCCATAATGGATGTTGTAATGTACTTTGTGGTGTGACAAATACAGAAAAGATTTATTACATTCTGTAAATTTATAGTGTTTCTCTCCAGGATGAATTCTGTGATGTCTACTGAAGCTCAAATAGGTTCTGAAACATTTTCCACATTTCCTGCATTGGTATGGTTTCTCTCCACTGTGGATTTGTTTCATCTTTAGTTTATGTTTAGAGTCAAAAAATTCATCATACTCTCTATTTTTGTGTTCTTTCTTTCCAGTGTGGATTTGCTGATATTGGTTAATGATGGGGCACAAATTTAAACACTCCCCACAATTGTTATATTTATATTGTTCTTCTGCAGTGTTCCCACTTTTATCTCTCCTTGGGTCTGATGATTCAATAGAGGCATCACTGTGGTTACCATTTCTGTACTCCTTGAAGTTTTCTGTAGTATCACTTGTGTTATACGGTATACCCTGTGAGGATTCATGAATCGTTTTCCCAAGCTCGCAACATTTGTAAGACTTCTCTTGGATATTCACATCCTCATGGACAATGTGCTTTGAGTCTTGATCCAAGACCTTCTCGTATTTACCACATATGCAATGGTTCTCTGAAAAATTAGCACAATTAGGGATAATAAGGATTGATGCTTGATTAAACAGATTCAATAACTGATGTTTTCTTAGACATACAAGTAGCAGTTCTCAGGGATAAAGCTTTCAACAGAGGACTTTGTGTTTCACGGTCATTAAATGGATGCTCAGAAGAACCTCAAGGACCACAAAGACAAATAATAGCCTTTTCATTCTTACCTAATCTGCATACCTTGCAGAAGGTTAAACAAATAGGTGATAGAGCAATAATGTACTTTGAGAAAAGAGCTCTTTTAAAAATCTTATGGAGAATGCTTCTCTTTTTTCTTGTTTGTATTTTTCAAAGAATCACACTGTGTAGCCTTCATTGCCTAGGAACTCACTATGTAACACAGGCTGGCCTACAACTCACCAGATCCACTTGCTTCACCCTCCCTAGTAATAGGATTAAAATCATGATTTTCCAGGACTAGAAACTATATCTCAAAGTATTGAACAAAATCACTCATATGTACACCATCAACAGTTCTTTCTCTATTTAAACAACTCTGTATTTTAAAAATTAAAAATAGGTGAATAGCTTAATTCAAGAGTAAAATCAAAATATTCCAACAACTAAGTGCACTATAATGCATTTCCTTGCTCTGAATATTCAATTTTCTTTGAATACTGAAATTAAGATTAAAAACTGTATGAGAGGGTTGGAGAGACGGTATACTATATAGAATTACTTGTTTTTGGTGAGAAGACTGAATAATATAAAGCTATGGTTATTATCAGAATTTCCCTACATTCTGGTAGTCTCTACACAGATCGGAGAGTTTACATACCACAAAGTAAGTAAATACAAAGGAAGAGTTAGGAATTCTACAAGAAAAGCATACTTACCTACAAAAACTAGATTGCTGTAATTCTCCCACATTACATCCATATACAGAGACCTTTGAGAGGAGTCCAGACATTCCCATTCCTCTGGGGAAAAGTCCACAGCCAGATTCCTGAATGTCAACAGACCCTGTAATGGAAAATCACACATTTACCATGTGCTGTTGACAAAATGCTTTCCTAGGTAAAAGAGACATAAAGAACTAGAGGCACTTTCGTGATATTGATGAGGCGTGGCATTCAAAGACAAAAGCTTTCTAACAGTGCTGCAGAGATGGTTCAGAAGTTGAGAGCATGGGTGGCTCTTCTGGAGGACCCAAGTTTTGTTCCCAGAACCCACACAGCACTCCATAGTAGATTATAACTCATGTTCCATTGCAGCTAATGCTCTTTTATGAACTCTGCAGGAAGGAGGCACATATATTACTCATGCATACATTCAGGCAAATAAAGTGAATGTGAACGTTAATTTTAATAAAAGATACATTCTAGAATACTCTGTTGTATTTTCTATCTCTGCGAAAACAGGATGGCATAATAGGCTTACAATCAGCAAACTTTGAAGGCATATACGATATATATTGGAGTTCTAGATGCAGGAGTATACCTTACTGAAGGCTGTGTTGATATCAAACAGGATCACATTGTTGCACCTCAGATGGAAAAGTCATGATGAGCAAAACTCTGTCGACCTTGCTCAAATAAGGACACTGGATCAATCCTGTCAGCAGCTGGGCTACAGCTGACTTTATTCTAATATGCTCAGTTAAGATCCCACGGCACAGGTACAATTCTACACCATTTGTAGAACACAGATTTAGAATATGGAATGGAGAATTCATGGATGAATGAAAGTCAAAGAGTATTTCTTTTTAACAGTAAGGAGAGTAACAGTGCATAATCCAACATTTCAAACAACACATAGGATCAAATATTTTGTGACGTTACTGTATGGAAGTATTTTCACAACCATCAAGTGAATACATTTTTTTAAAAGTCGACAAAACCAATACAGATGAATAACAATTTCAGAAATTCCATATGGAGGGTTCACTCCAGAATAGTTAGAAAAATATGTGTAAATAAATGTTCTATGTGACAATACATTCAAATGAAGTAGAGATTTCCTGTGATCCAAATGATTGTATTGTTGTGTGAGAATACTAAATCTTTATTAATTTTGATTATATTATTGCTCATGGCATTGTCTCAATTGAAAATTTGAATATTGTAGTTTCAATTGTATTCAGTCTAACATGATTTTTGTTTCATACATAAGTATCATTTATAATTATTTCTTTATTTTGCAAAAGAAAAAAAAAAAAAAGAAGACACAAGATTTAACATTGACTCCGCCATGAATGTGCCCCAGAAATGTAAACCTAAGGGATGGAAAGATGGCTCAGAGGTAAAGGGCACTTGCTGATCCTGCAGAGAAATACAGTTTACTTCTCTCTACGTTTATGGCAGCATACCACAGTGCTTTACTCTCTTACCAAGGGTTTGGGGCCAACCTTAGGGCTGCATGGGCATCAATGGAGGCATGCAATACACATAAAAACATGCAGATAAACATATACTCAATAAAGATTTTTTATTGTAAGTCAGACATAGAAACCTGATGATTACCACCTCTGCATAATTTCCAGCTATGTACTACATAGCTCCAGGGGAAGGAAAAATATAGGGTAGGGGGAGCATCTTCCCTCCAAAAGAAAAGAGCAAAGTCATTAAGAGGGACATTCATTTAGGCTTGAAAATTGACAGCTTTTGCATAGAGGCAAGGTAATATCTCTAGAATATTCTTCCTAATATATTCCACATGATACAATATGGGGTGGGGCAGGACTATCTATACCTCGTCTGAAAACTAAGACAAAGAGAAAATACTGATCTGTCTATTGAGAACTTACCACTGAACATTGTTATCAAGAACATGATAAGACCAAGACCTCTCGTGAGACAATTAGTTTTCAGATGTCAACACATCCATAGGTGTATCATCACCAATGTGATATCAAGTAGCAAAGAAAGAATCCATTAAACTACAACTTGCATCTCCTCTCAGAACATCAGTTTTATGGCAAAAGCAAGCCATGTTATTCATTCCTTCATGTGTGCTCTCTAGGGTGCTTAAATTTTTACTATTATGATGTAAGACTCTGAGTCTGTTCTACTTCTACTTTTCCTTAAATTGTTCAGTGATGTAGGCAAAAGGTCCATGTGTTTCTAGGGCTACTTTCATAAGATGGTTTAGGTAATCCCTGAAATACAACCTATGTGGCACATGAGATCTTCCTTCCTCACTAATATATAAAGACACAAGTCCACACTCTGTAGGAATTGGGCATCAATATATTTCTTTGATCATCATTTACAATGGAATCTCTTTCAGAATTATAAGTCTTAAGTACATAAAAATATATGTCCTCACAGTAATAATCGAGGGAGGATACAATGGAACAAGGCTGAGCTGTGTAGGTGTCAAAATTTAAAGACTTAATCTTAATTATCAAAGAAAAGGAAGAAAAAAAACACAGAAAATAAACACTTCACCATTGGCAGGGAATTTAAGACTTGCATGGTTCTGATGAAAAAACAATTTTCGCTCTTGTCTCTTATTTCTCTCTGGCTCTTCTTGTCCCCGCTCTGACATGACCCTTCACTCTTTTGTTCTCCCCTTCCCCAATAAACCTCTTGCTCTATCTCTGTCTTGTGTGGCATGTTCACTTACTGGCATACTTTGGCAGGGCCCACCAAAAGGTACATACTTTACCTTTCTTTTTTATCCTTTCATTGGTGCCAAGATTCAATAGGCTCTCCTAGCATTTGTTCTGGCCACTTGCTCCACCTACAACAGATCTGCTTTCTTGTTCACTGATGGCTTTGCCTTCCATTCAATACTGGCAACTGGGTCTCTGGCGGGGCTACCTGCCTCTGACTAATTCGCTGGATATGAGGCTTCATTTCTGGAGCACAATTCTTGCCTTCTTGTTTTTCTCAAAGTCCAGGTGACTGTGTCTCTCTTGCGGTCAGAGCCCTTGGCCTCTGTTCTTGCCTGATGACACACGGAGCAGCTTGTGCCTGTTCAGTCCTCTTCTGAGTCTAGGGGATGCCTGAGGCTCTCACAGTTTTGGATTTTTCTCTGCTTCATCCTTGGGACCTGTGTCATAAACCTCCTCACTTCCACTGGGATGACTTCTGGAGATCCTCTGACCACTTCTTTCAAATCAAATCTGGCCTCAGTATACCTTGGACCAGGCAGTCAAGAAACTGAGAAAGAATTCTCCACTTTCTTCCTCTTTGTTCCAAGACCTGCTTGTTTCTCTCTGCTCTCCCTCTCTAAATTTTGTAAATGTTCTCTCTGTATGTTTGTTGGAATGTGGGAGTTAGACAGAGAGGTCAGCTTTATCTTGCTCAGCATACACCAGCTCTCCTCTGCAGTATCTGCTGATCTAATCCTCAGGAAGGTATGTATGGATTATTTGTCTGATAAGTGAATCTAATTCCAAATTTTAGAGTTTGAGTCTTCCTGCGTTACTTTCCACATGGACACATGTGTGCTTGGCTGGCTCCTGACGCCTGCTACATCCATGTGGACCTGCTTTTCCCATCTTCCAGTGGCCTTCCACAGCTTAAGTTCTAGTCTACTGTATTCTCCGTATGGCTCTGGCTCTTGTGGCCTGCAGACGGACATGCTCCCTTCTCCTCTGTGCCTTCCTGGCTTTCCCTTACTCTGCAGCCAGACCGTAAACCCGCTGTGCTATCTCTGTTTCTACCTGCAATCCTGCAGCTCATTTACACTCTCAACTTCCTCTTAGGACTTACAGGAACACACTTGCACAGTGCTCCACTTTGCAACCCTATCTCTCTTCCTCTATGGACTCAGATTTTATTACAACATCTTGGCCTTAGTACAAATCAATGGCCCAAATTGGCAAATTTGATTTCCAAATTCTCACAAACTGTCAACAACTGCTACTGCCACAAAGGCTTCCCAAATATCTTATACTTAAACTTGCTCTACTACACTTAATATTTCCAACGTCCCTTATCTCTAAGGCTCTACTTCCCCACTCCTAAAAATAATTTATCTCTATGATTTCTTTGCACTCTGCTCTCAGAAAAGTAATAAATTGTAATTTACTCATTGTGTATGGTTTAAAATTTATATAATTTGTAACAAAATTTGGCTTTAAACTTAAAACATAAACCTTATAATTAAAATTCTATACGTGTGTGTGTGTGTGTGTGTGTGTGTGTGTGTGTGTGTGTGTGTGATTCAACTCCTCTTTAAGATACGTATGTGTATGTGTACACATGTGACTTGGATTTAACACCATGTAGGAATGTAAGCTGGATTTAACTTTGTGTGTATATATTTGTAACATAGATTCAACTCTGTGCATATATGTCCATGTAACTTAGATTCAACTATTGTTTAGGAAAACGTTTTAAATAGCAACTGCATGGCTCTCCTCCATCTTGGCTGGTGACCTCATCGTGATGGAGGCAGCCACATGGCCGGCAACCATGTTTTACTAAGGTTAAAGAGTACATATCATGTGACACTTCTTAGTTCTAATGAGCTCTCTGTTCATTGTATCTCCTTTTAGAATAAGGAAGCAACAGTGTTAAATATTTTGGATTGGCATGGACTTTTGTATGATAGAAATATAGGGTTGTATTTAGTACAACATACTGTATATGTGATTCAACTCCGGTTTAGAATAAACTGTATCAGGTGATAAAAATGTAAGGTTATAAAGGTCTATTCAGATTAACAAAAGCTGACTTAGAGATTTACACCTAAGTACTTATGTCTTTGCTAAATGTTCACCATCAAGGTTCTGGAGAATTTAGACAAATGGTAACTTGTGTTTGATAAATAAGTTATTTGACAAATAAGATATATTCTATAATGGAGTTTCTGGTTCCATGAGAGGGTCTTTTTCTCAGGGTTGGGCATTTGGGCAGGGGCACCCAATGGCTTTTCAAGGGTAGTGCTGGCCTCAAGGGTCCCTCAGTCCCTGTTCACAGAACCCACCCAGGCTCACAGGCCCCCTTTTCTCCTGTTCCCATTTGGCCCTGGGGATCTTTCCCCTGTCACATTTCCTTGCCTTCTCAGGAGACAGCCTTAGCAGTTTGGAATAAACTTGTTCCATTTTCACCCACGGAACATCTATTTTGGTTTCTTTACTGAATGCATTATCCACAATTAAAAAGTTTTATTTTGATACTAAGACATCAATTTGAAATCATTTTTAAGCTAAACCTGACAGGAATGGAACATAAAGTACTAGTCTTATAAAAGCTACAAACTTATTGGAAACTGTAAAGAATAATTAAGAAATGCAAACTAATGATGAGTCAACTTAAACAAAAAATGGAATAGCAACTTTTTATGAAAGTTGCTAACTTATTGTAGACTGTTAAGGAACATGTTAATAGCCATCTTATGACTGATCAAACTCTTTAATTGTAGTCATGCTAAGTACTAATATAATTAATTACAGGGATAAGCCCTTCTTAGTCCCCTGTATATATTTCAAAGTTAAGCTTAAAACAAGTAACTAGAAACTAGCAAAGTCTGTCCATTCAGACATACCTAATAGACAGATGGTCTTCAAATGGTTCAGAGATATGCAGAACATGGCATTTAAAACGTTTAATAAAAAAGCTTTTCAAGATAGAGGGACATGTCAGCTCCTGGTAGCACCCCATCTCCTCCAAGGAAGATGGATGGGCATAGAAGAACCTCCACCTAGAGCTTGCTTTAAATGTGGCCACTGGGCAAATTTAAAATGTTGGTCACTGGGCAAAAAAAACTGCCTTTCACCTCAACTGTTGCCAAGACAATCAGGACACTGAGGAATTAATTGCCCTGTTTTGCCTAGACAAGGTAGAATGGTTCCCCTCCCCCACCCCCACCCCCACCCCCAAGTTCTTACTCCATAGGAAAAGCTGTCAGATCTTTTGGACCTGATAGCTGAAGACTGATGCTGCCCTGAGACCTCTGCTCTAGGTAAGTCTGTCGTTTAATAGATTTGGAAGCTGCCTGGTCTGCATTTCTGCTTGCTCAGGTAAAATTTATCCTTCTCAGAACTCCAATGGT